TCTGCCAGCGAAAACAGGCTCCTGAGTTCCGTTTTTGTTGGCAGAAGCACTGTTTCCAGGGCGACCAGTGGGCCAGATCTAAGTGCCCTTTGACACCCCTGAGCTACAGTGATGAATTTTGGACTATCTTCATAAAATGAAACATTTGGAAACAGATAAAATATTTTAAATAGTTATTTAAATCACCAGTTCAGAAACACACTTTTTTTAGTAAAACAAATTAAATGCAACTGTGTAATTCAGGGCATTTAAAAATGGGCCTTCTGATGAGACATATATATCCAACCAGTTTATACTCCTTTCTTTTAAATATGTATTTTAAATCTCAGTTGAAAGACTTGCATGATTAATTTCAGATTACATATCACTTCATAACTATTTCTATAATTTACATGCATTTTAAAAGTCATGCACTAAAGATAACATGGATGGAACATATATTTATTTGAAGAAAAATATTCTTTTCAATAAACATCAGAAATACTGCACTGCCATCTATTGATGCAAATTGTAGTATTTTAGATAATCTAAAAAATAGAACAAGTGGCCTTTGAAAAAGTCAGCTTGATGATTTTCTGAAAACCAAAATATAACATAATCTTTATAATAAAATTACAAGGCATTGTGTCCAAACTGATGTATCTCAAAAATATATTAATTTTAGTTGGTCTATGGAAAACTATAGAACTATAGGAAAAATATATTTCCAAAGGACTTTTCCATTTCTTCAAAGCAAATGTACAATATGCATGATATGTACAAAATATTAATCATTTACAATATTATGTATGTATGTATGTTTTTTTCTTTTTTATTACAATGCAACCAGTAATCATGTACTTTATTGAAAACAGACCTTATTTTAAGGAGCTTGCAATCTCAAGTATGGGTTACAGCCAACAAAATGTTTCTGTAGGGGAAATGAATTAGGTGTCTGAGCCAAAATATTAATGGAAAAAGTTAGTTTTAATTAAAATAGCATTCTAAAGTAGGAAGGAGGTCAGAAAGTGGCTGATACTTATGGGAAAGTTTATTTAAGACTGTATAGCTGATTGACAGGAAACCCTCATTGTGGTTGCACCGCTTCATATTTAATATAAATATGAGAAATGTAATAAACAAAGGTATTTTATGTCAATATGTTCTTTATCACAGTATTTATTCATTCATTATTTATATCTCACCTTTATTATTTTTATGAGTAACTCGCTGTGGTGAACATACTTAATACTCTTTCCTCTTCCTATTTCCTCACAACAACCGTGTGAGGTGACTTGGCTTAGAGTTGTTGAACGATGTGTTGACTAACTGAGACATATAGCCTGGCCAAATTATAGAACATATTAGAACTGAAAAGACGGCTCCAGTTTGTCTTATTTTATTTTATTTTATTTTATTTGTTTTGTTTGTTTGTTTAAATTTATTAGAGCTACTCACTCCAATAAGATCCCAGCGATGTCCAAGGTCTAATAATAATTAAAACAATTAAAATTTAGGCAAAACAAAACAGCCTGGATTAAAAACAAGCATTAGAACACGACCCAATGGGGTATTCCACAAAAACATTATCCCTAGGGATCAAAGAGAGGTTTTAAGGGCTTTATAGAGGGGATGCTTTCTGCCAGAAAGCATACTTAATTGATTCAGGACATCAGCATTTACAGGGGCTTCTTGGCTCATTTCCAGTAATCAGAAGACACAGAAACTCTTATTGTAGGTATTCTTTTTTGAAGAATCTATTAGAAAAGCACCTTAGCAGCAAGATTCATAAACACTGTTTTTTCAAAGAGTTTGACTGCCATCTTGTGCCCAAAAAGTGAAATTTTACTACAGAAAATTAAACAGACAAGTATTGCCATTACAGCTCAAAAATGTCTGTTTTGCACTAAAGGGAAGCCAATCCAATATTTTATGTATGTAGGCATGCAATTACTATATAGGTATAAAAACTTCAATAAGCACAATGGTTGGGAAAGCATAGTTGAAATGATAAACACTTCAGAGTTGACAAGGCTAGTCAGAATAAAGACATTAGTAAATGAGGCAGTACCTACAGCAACAGAAATATCTTCATTATATGTAGACATGGAAGAAAAAATTAGCTTCTGGGACCATTTATACATTACCAGTTGTGATAAACTCCCTGTCATAAAAATTACACAGGCTAATTTTCATATGCGTATGCAAATTTAAAAACAGAGGCATAACATCTCATTAATGTACAGATAAGTGACCTGGGTTTTTATTTGGTCTGCTGTTCATACGCTTAAAGTTTATGTATCATTCTCATTTGTTCTGTGTCTTTCATTCTCTCTGAACTGGAGCAAGGCCAGAAATTATATATAACTACATTCCTATTTTAAGCCATGTATCCAATATCCTTTATAGTAGTCCTTTACAGTTGTTAAGTTAGAGACATGGTTGTAAAGTGAATCTGGCTTCCCCCTTAACTTTGCTTGTCAGAAGGTCACAAAAGGTGATCACACCACACCATCATTAATATGAGTCAGTTGCGAAGCATCTGAATTTTGATCACATGACCACGGGGGATGTGATCACATGACCAACTGTCATAAGTGTGAAAAATGGTCATTATTACTCACTTTTTTTTTAGTGATGCTGTAACTTTAAACAGTCACTAAACAAATGTTGTAAGTGGAGGGCTATCTGTATTGTTTTCTAAGATCAAGTAAAATATCTTTAAAAATAATATTGATAATATTTAATAACCACCAATTGTACAACAACACTCATACCAAACCCAAGAAGTATACAATCAAGTTAGTCTTAAAATAGCTTTTTTATGTTTGAACACCTGAAACACAATCATAGCTCTATATGTTCATAGGAAGGGGAATTTATAATCCACAATTCTCCAAATTATATGATTATAATTAATACAATGAGATAAAATAAAATATAAAATAAAGGATGCCGAAGAATCAAGAAATTAGACCTGATCTTTTACTTCAACTGCAGTTCAAAGTCACAAGATGGGAAATGTAGGTTGAATCATTGTTTCTATAAAGGATGGGTTGTGTCAAAATAATTAGCATTCAGGGCTTCCCCCAGATTTTTAGGGAAACTCAAAAGGCTATGTACTCTTTAGACCATTTTGCTTGCTCCTAATACATCTATTCAAATAAGGTTTTTAAACAACTAGTTTGGTTCACTGATTATAGATAAAGTAAAGTACCAGATTCAGAAAATCAATACACTGAGGCAGGCGTGGGTTCTAAAAAATTTTATTATTGGTTCTGTGGGCGTGGCTTATTTTGTGGGCATGGCTTGATGGTCATGTGACAATTCTTTAGGATTTAGCAGAGGTACTGGTCTACCAGGCTTTCAACTACTTGCAGAGCTGTACCGGTCTAGTCATTTATTTTTGCAGGCACTGGTCTACTCATGTATTTTTGCAGGCACTGGTCTACTCATTTGTTTTCTTTTAACACTGATCAGCTGTATGGCGGCCCTTTTAAGCCCTGTGGCAAGAGTTTAAATAGTTTTTTCCCCTCTAGTCGATCAGCTGGGACTCAGGAGGCAGCAATAGATTGGGGGTGGGGCCAAATAAAAGGTAAGAATAACGCGGGGGGCAGGGGGGACGGAGGCAGAACCGGTTCGGTGACATCATATCATCACCGCTACCGGCTCGGCGGAACCGGGCACAACCAGAGGAACCCACCACTGCACTTAGGTCTAGTTCTACCTTAGGGACCAAACCATCTGAGTAAATCTGGGCTAATCATTTTCTCAGCCCTATGAAGAAGGCCATGGCAAATCATTTTCAAAAGAAAATCTTGGAAACGTGTTCAGGCAGTTGCCAAGAATCAAGATTAAGCCAAAGACACACATAAAAAAAGATTCCTATGGAGGCTACAGCATTACTAAATTATATTAATATCAAACTCAAATTTATTCTAGATGGATCTTCCTGAAACACCTTTAAAACTTTCTAGTATCTTGAAGTTCCATTTGGGAGACAAGCTTCATTTAGACCTGTAAGTAGGTCTCTTGAACTAAGCTGATAGTTGATGTTGCATCTGTGGACCTTATGCCTGGAAAAAAAAAAAACCCACCTTCTCTTTGTGTGTGTCTATGTATTTAACCTATGGAACTGTTTGGGAGACCTGTTTTGCTACTATAATAATTTAATAGATATTTGCAATTTTTTATAAAACACAAAAATATAAAAATAGTTGAAATTGCAACTTGCTACTGCATATCCCATTTGAGGAATGAATCCAAAATTCTAGTTTTAAATTCCATCCAGTTATATCCACACTTGTGTCTTTCCAAACAATAATTTGTTTTCCAAAATTTAAATTGTCTTTCAGAACAATTCTAGTCCAAAATATGTTACATATTTCACTCTAAAACAAAACTTACTGAGCTCCTGAAATGTCATCAATTATATGACCATTTATATATGAAACACATTTCATATATAACGCGCTGTGTGCGTTGTGGGAAAGCATCAGACCATGAAAGTGTAATATTATTAAGTACACAAAATTTACTCAGACATTTTAAAAGTTTATGGAACACGTCTAAGACATCTGGCTTAGCAAATGGAAGGATGCAGAAAAGATACATTTGCCAATAATATTAAGAGAAAAAAAGATATCTAAATATTTTGATTGTTTTCAATTAAAATCTATGACAAATTAATGATGCATAATGATGATAATGATATAATTGTTTTATTAAGTCACACATTTACAAGGACCTTCATAAACCATTCAGGGCTTCACCACAAAGAATGCATTCATCTCAAATCAATGCTAAATCAATTTTATTTCTTATAAACGGTTTAATTTAAAAAATTTAAAAAGCTGCTGGCTGGGGGATTCTGGGAGTTGAAGTCCACCCATCTTCAAGCTACCAAGGTTAAGAAACACTGTCTTAGATGATAGACAGAAAGACAGATAGACAGATACTGTATATAGATTTACCCAGAGTGTTAATCATGTCCTTATTTAATATAAATTTGAGTTGCCCATTTTAATCACATATTTGAGAGTCATTCAAATGCTCATGTTTCCGTTAGAACACTTTGTCACAATGCTGATTGTAATCTGTCAGATTTAGAATGTTGGAAAATTTGAACAATACCAGCACTTTAGAATTTAACTAACAGTATTGGCAAGAATCCAATCATAGCAGGCTTGTTAGAGGATAGAACAGGCACCCCAGTAATCCATTTCAACCAAGAAAGTATTTCAACTGTTGTCCATTGAGAAATGCACTGTTCATCAGGTATTCAAAATACCTTATGAACTATACAAAAATGTATAGGTTATGTTTTTCTGTTCTAATCCAAACTATAATTTATTTTTTAAATTGTTCACTTTGTTGTTATTCAGGGTTTCAGACATATCACATTTGTGTTCATATATTGCCTTGTTTTCTTTATCTCTTATTTAGTTTAATTTGGAAATATGAAGCAGAAAAGTCAAAATTCAGCAACAAGACTTGATGATTGATATTCCAGTGGAAGAACATTCTGATTTTTGTTTCTTGATTGTGTAGATGATGGATTCCCTACTTGAACAGTTCCTGGACTAAAACAAATGGCCCTCGTGGTAATATTCAAACAAACCATATTCCACCTCATTTACATCTGTGACACATTGTAAGACTACTGCTTTATTATGCTGGTAATATACATTAATCCTAATTTGCTGTAAAGAGTATGATGAGAACAAAATATTTTATGTTTTATAGTAACATTTTTATTAATAGCCCCTATGCATTTTAATGACTCTAGTAGTAATCTTTGTTTTCTTAAAAAACAGGCTGCATATTCCAAATATGTTTTAGAAATATATATGTAATAAACATGGTTTCCCTCCTATTCATCAGTGTCCATATTAATATTCCAAACAACGGAACATGCTAATGGGAATCTTTTCCAATGCTGCATTTAAGGCTTACTTTAATAAAACAAGTTTGCATATACTGTATGATGATTCATTAAGGTGGTGTCAAAGTTAGGTACAAAAGTAGGAAGAGGTGGAAACACCATGCAGCACCAATGCCTTTGTTCTAAACTAGGACATCGGAAAGTGACGTTCATGTTCAAAATTAACATGGGAAATTACAATCAAAAGCAACTAAAGGTCAATGTTGTGTAAGCATAATGAATTAACAGCTGAACTCTCATTAATAAAAATGTAATCCACTAGAAGTTCATCAGCTAGGCCACAATTTTTCTACTTCTTTTGTTTACTTATTTAGCAACCAAAACTTATTTCACCAATGGCTTCTTTTGAAAAATATTCTGTTGTTGTGTGAGTATTTCTATCTTAAATCAAGGTTCTCAGTGACAGCATATAGTACAAGGTACTTTAAGCCTAGGGTGAATATTGATTGCTATCTATCTATTGGCAGAGCTTAAACTGGTTTTTTTTTAACAGATCATAAAAGATCCTCACCCCACACCAGCTAAATAGGAGCGGTAAAAATGAAGCTGAGCTGCAGAGAGAAAACAGCCCAATATGTCTTTCAGATATTTTGGACAAAAAAAATTGCTGATTATCCCCACAGTGAAGAAACTGCAGATCTAGATCATTATTAAATGATGACCTTGTTGATTGTCTATGGAGAGATTTTCAGTCATCCAGTTCATGGTTGTCCCAAAAGTTGTAAGAAGAAGCTTCTTCAGCTCTGAAGCTTCTTGGATGAAAAGTGAAATGTCTTCAAGGAAAAAACAAAGTCCAGTTGCCTTATGAAAAAAGCATTTTGGGCTGACCTTGCTGGTGTTCTTTGTATTCCCAGTAAGAGGGTTTTTTTACCTTCAGCTCCAACTCTAATAGAATTAATTTCAAATAATTTGGAACAGAATCATCCAGTAACATTTTTGTAGTAAAAATAAGTAACAACTGTAGTAACAATAAGTGTATGTTCAACATTTTATAAGCTGTCAAGTGTTTTCTAAAAATGTAATAATAAATGCTGGATTCAATATGTGAATGTAGGTTGTACACAGCCTCTGCTGAGTCAGGGCAAAATAGATAACATTCATGAAGTGGTAACATTGCACAGCCAAACATCTGTGTTGTTCTGTCAAGTGAAGAAGATAAATCTTACTAGGTTTGGTGCAACATCTAAACTGCAATCTACAAAGATAAAAAGGAAGTAATAAAATTAGGCAATAATTTAACATAGCCAAATTTTTCACATTTCACATTTTCACTTACAGTATTTTCTATGTCAAATATCCATAAACACATAGATAAGCACAAATTATTCAGAAGTGATGATGCCTAATTCAGGACAAATTGCAATCTTACACTCATTTACAAAAAGTAAGTAGAGTGTCCTGATCATTTCTTTTAAATTAAAGTTATTTTTATATTTGTTTATTAAATTTGTTTGCTGCCCATCTAGTCACAAGGCAGCTCTGGACATCTTGCAAGGTTAAAACCAATAGAACTACACAAAATAGATAGATGATAGATAGATAGATAGATAGATAGATAGATAGATAGATAGATAGATAGATAGATAGATAGTATACGCAATAAAATATGGATTACAATTGAAATTATGGTAAAAAGATGGGGATGGAGGGAACAGCCTGGGCGGGGTGGGTGAAGTGAGATCTGCTATTGGTCCTTCAACCACTTCCAGTATTATATTCCTTCACTGGGAAGCCAACTGGCAGAGCAAGATCTTCAGGCTCTTATGGAAAATCAGGAATGTAGGAGCAGATCTCCCTGGGACAGCTGGGGACGACAACAAGATGTTCCAAAGGGCAGGAATCATGTAGAGAAGGCTTTTCTGCTGGATTGTGCCAGCCAAAATTCCTTAATTAAAATTGAATTACCATTCATAGGCATTGGACACATATTCTATGAAACTAATATTATAGTTTCATATATACATACAAGACTAGAAAGTGGGAGGCCATGAGTTCCAGCCCCACTTTAGCCATGAAAGCCAGCTGGGTGACCTTGGGACAGACACTCTGTCTCTATCCAACTCACCTCACAGGGTTGTTATGGAGAAAATAGGAGGAGGAAGGTATGTTGGATATGTTCGTCACCTTGAACTATTTGTATAAATAACAAAGGTGGGTTACAAATAAATAAATAGATAGATAGATAGATAGATAGATAGATAGATAGATAGATAGATAGTATACGCAATAAAATATGGATTACAATTGAAATTATGGTAAAAAGATGGGGATGGAGGGAACAGCCTGGGCGGGGTGGGTGAAGTGAGATCTGCTATTGGTCCTTCAACCACTTCCAGTATTATATTCCTTCACTGGGAAGCCAACTGGCAGAGCAAGATCTTCAGGCTCTTATGGAAAATCAGGAATGTAGGAGCAGATCTCCCTGGGACAGCTGGGGGACGACAACAAGATGTTCCAAAGGGCAGGAATCATGTAGAGAAGGCTTTTCTGCTGGATTGTGCCAGCCAAAATTCCTTAATTAAAATTGAATTACCATTCATAGGCATTGGACACATATTCTATGAAACTAATATTATAGTTTCATATATACATACAAGACTAGAAAGTGGGAGGCCATGAGTTCCAGCCCCACTTTAGCCATGAAAGCCAGCTGGGTGACCTTGGGACAGACACTCTGTCTCTATCCAACTCACCTCACAGGGTTGTTATGGAGAAAATAGGAGGAGGAAGGTATGTTGGATATGTTCGTCACCTTGAACTATTTGTATAAATAACAAAGGTGGGTTACAAATAAATAAATAAAAGTAAAATGTGTCCTTTATAAATATAGTTACAAATTAAGAAATAGTAATATAAGTCCAGACTAATCTACCAAAATAATCAAATATGTTAGTATTTGAGGTGTTGAAATAATATATTTCAGAATAAGAAAAAAGAATCTTTGTCATTTAAACAGTCAGTCATACTTTAGTTCCAAATATACTACAGGAACTTTTTTCAACCTCTTCTTTTCAACCTTATTCCATTTTCTTCCCATGAACTCCCAAAACAGGTAGATACAAGGGCTGGAGATGGAAGATTCTAGATCCTATCTTTCCATGTTAATTTCCTTAAATTATTGTAGGATCTAAGCCAGCATATAGGAAACCATAACTACTTAAATTGTATTTGGATTTTATCATTTAACATCTCATCTGCTTTTCGCATCTGCCAAGTAATATGATTGACATATGTCATGCCAGACAGTTGGAGAATCATACCATCTGTGCAGCCAGGTGTTCTATATTGTGCCAAATAGCTTTAAGCAGCCACATATATGTGAGGTGGGGTTGCAAAATTAGTCTTCCGTCCTTAAAAAAAATTCGTAAGTTTCACATCCATGCCAAATTAATTTTGAAACCAACAACAGTTTATATCAACATTTCATATTTCTTTTCACAATTCTTATATGTACAATGGTATGAATGGGCCCAAAATCACTCAGTAAGTTTAGTGACTGAGATGAATTCCAAGCTGGGTCTTCACAGTCTTAGCTGATCCCCTTAACCACTACACCATGGGTATCCAATTACTCGGCTTCAATGAGTGAAGAATTGTCTTGGGCACATATAAAACATATAATACAGTTTTATAAGATGATGATGATGATGACGACAATGACATGGAGAGACCTGGCCCAAAGAATTGCCAAGCCTTTCCATATCAGTTTTATAATATAAAATCATGTAATAATGTTAATATTTTATGATTTTGTGGGGCCGCATTACTAGCTATCCAGGACTATATATGGACAATGGGCTGCGGGCTGGACATGCCTGCACTACACCATAACAGCTTATGTCAACAATATAGCTGGAGAACATGTGGTAACTAGTTCTTACCTGTGACAGTGGGGGGCAGGGCTCAAGAGAAGATAGCTGAGTTACCAAGAAGTACAGCAGTTGTCAGGATTGGACTTCCAACAATTCTGCAGTTAGAAGATTAGTTTAACATGCTTGATATAACACTCAGAAGATATCACCAAATATATTCATTCAGACAGCATCTCATTGTTCAGAATAAGAAAAGTTTGTCACATAAGATACCAATTACTTCTTAGAGAAATAGAACTCTGAAGAAAATTGTAATAAGATCGGTATTACATTATATAAAATTACACATTCTTTTTATCTTTATATGTGATAGGATTGACTTACATTGCACTGTACCAGACAGATAGATCAAAATATCAATTTCTCTGCAACCTGATGTCTCACATGATCTCAAAAGTAGAAAACAAGGCATCTCATTGAATGTGATGGTCCAACAGACTGCTGTCTTAAGATGATCCACATTTACTGAGGTCCATTTTGCATTTGTTAGATGATAGATAGACTGGTGTTTCTTGAGATGGAAGGAAATTTTGAAATCAGATAGAAGCGGGATAAAAATGGGCTTTGTACCTCCATTCTCTGTTCACAATATCAGGCCTCTCTAGTGCTGGTTAAGGATAGTGATCATTTAAAGCAAATGCAGACAAATGTATGACATTCAGAAACATTGATCCCACTTTTAATTTTTTCTAAAAAGCAATCTTTTGCATGACTGTATTGAGAAAAATTCAGTTGTACCGAATTTAGATTGTATTTCATTCATAAACTGTAGATAGTAATTGGTTTACATTAGGCATTTAAATGTGTTTGCATTTTTAATCCACCTAATTAATCTATTTTTATAATATAATATAATTACTACATTTGATATTCTCTTCTCAAGGTATCTAAATATCCAAGAGAGATCATCTCAAAAATAAAAAAAAATACATCTGGGATCAGCATTAAAAATATAGAGTGACAAACTAGTTCTGCAGAAATGCAGCCCCAGTTTTTCAATTTCCTTAGCAGCAAATATGAACTTTGTGCTTGTTATGATGGCACATGTACTAAAATTAA